TGAAAATACTGCCCGAGGCCGTAGGCAGAGGGCAGCATTTTCAAGACCGAGGTCACAGTTTTTCACCATACGGACCGACACTTAGCCGGTAAATAAAATATTTATTTTTTTGAAACTTGACGAAATTCTTTCCGAAAGAACCCGAATGATTTAGGGCTGTAAATACGGCAAGATCTTCCATAAACTGAACAGTTTTTGAGCCAGTAAATGGTAGTTAAAATAGAGGTGATGCAAATTCAAGAGAGATGCCTCGGCGAAACATTTTCATTTCCGTAACGATAATTTAAAAGACTTCCAAACAAACTTTGAAACATTATTTTTACAAGTATCTGTCACAATCTGATACCTGTCAATTAGAGAGCGCGTAAGTAAAAAAAAGCGTAAGAACATTTGAAAAACAACGAAACTAGTTTGGCAAGGACTGTCAGCACATTGTTTTCTTCAAAAACAGTCAATGATCCTACGGAAAGTATTATTCACTGTCGTCGACGATTAATTCATGTACGAAGATTTACCTCTGTTCATTGAGTAACCGGTGAGGAAAGAAATTGTAAGTAAATTTAAATTTTTTGTTTTGAAGTTGTGAGAGTTTGCTCGTTTGTTTGCTGCAATGGCGAGTGAAATCTGGTCTTTCCTCCACAAAAACTAAACTCCAACGAGACACAAGGGGATTTAATGCGGCCTCCTTTTCTCATTGAAGTTTCTGTTGTGCAATTTACGGTACAAATGTCCAAACTGAACGGACTTGAAAAGACTCACCGAGAGCGTATATTTGTTATAGAACTGAAATTAAAACTTCGCTCGCCTTTTCACCACGAACAAATTGTTTGAGAAAATTCAGATATTAGATGGACGAAAGTTCCATCGATTAGTTCAACTGTAACCTAATATCTCCCGTTTTAACTTTCTAGGTACTTTTTGTAAACGATTAAAATTAACTGCAGACGGTTTTTAGGCCGCCTGTCAACCAACGTGATGACACTATTGCTTATACAAAAAATTATTCTGAAACGAAAATTTTTAGTCAACCAAAGTGACTTGAGAGAGAGAAAAGAGAGGATTAATAAGTTAGTTATCGGCTTGAGGTAGTGACCGACGTCTTTGCTTAAAAACACTTCCCAACAGGTAAAACGAGATGTATTTATGAAAAATGGTAATGAACGAAGGGATGTATTCGGCGACTCACGAAAGCGTGACCGTTGCCCGTGAATGAGATGTTACTATTTGATATTTAACACGCGCAATATTCGAGAAACAATTGACAGCTTTGCACGTGGTTTCATTATCATCTTTTTAAGCGGTATGTGTTTATTTTGTTGACAAAAATGCGGACCGAGACCAAAACTGTTCCTTCGACTTGATATATTTTCAACGTCAGTAGATCACATCATATCAACTTATCTCCGTAAATCATTCATTCCAGATAACAGAATCAAATAAATTTTTCCACTCACTCTCGTCGTGAAGGAACAATAACCATGATCGTGCTACAGTGCACAGAACTCCATTTTCTCTTGAATAACTATCCACCATTTTCACAGCATGAGCAATACGTTTGCTGTAGGCAATCTGATGTCTTTAATCTGTCCAGTAGAATCGCATTTCTCATAAAGAGCGGTAAATATACGTTGAAAGCACAGAAAAGCCAACATTTCTCATTCTAAATGATGATTCCATTTTACTAACGCTCTCTCCGAATCCCGCGTCAACTCGTTGAAATCTGAACAAAAGAACAAAAACGACGCTCTGATTTGTGCGAGATACCTACCCTAAACAGTCTGATTGATGCGAACAACATACCACTCTATACGCTAACATAGAGTTATTTTCTTTTGGAAAAAATTACTCAAAAAGCGTTTCATGTCAAGTAATGGTCAAATCAAATTAATGCCAAATTTTTCAATTAAGAAAGTTGTGTTATATTTTAACAGAATAGCATGTAATATAATAATCTGTCACATATAAATACAATCTATTGTCTAACAATAATATTTATTTTTGAAAACATATATATACATAAACAAGCAAACACAGTATGGGAGTTGAACGCTCCAAGTAATGGGCTTTTAACGCTATTCAAAATATTTTCCTGAACTGGTACTCAGTGCTGATAATACCAATTTAAAATTAAAACACCTGTAGTAACCGTGGTAATTATCATATATTTGATAAAATCGCGTTACTCAGATCAGCCTCTAGCTAAGCTTCTTGGTTCTCAATGCTGGCGAATCCTGCTCGGGCCTGAACGAAAATATTTGCCCTTGTAATATAGTTTTTTTTTCTTCAAGCTTTATTTTGACAACTACCGGCAGTATTTGAGCTGTGAATGAATCAAGAAATTGTATTAGCAATCAGAGGAAGCAATATGAGAATGATCGTAAAAGCTCTCTTAACATTATGAATAATCCAAGTTTCGATTGCCTTGTTAGGAAAAGTGTTACTGGCGGTACTGTGCTCTATTGAGCTAATGCCGAGCCATAGCGGTAAGCAAAAACACCTCCTTCAATGTACGGGCCCCGGTTGTTCAAAGGATGCGGTAACCTCTTATCCGTTGGATAAATCGCTATTTAGCGGATAAATTTTTACCCAAAGTGTCATATCGGTTGTTCAAATTACGGTAGCGGTATCCAATCGCCATCCAGCAGAAAAATTTATTCAGGTAGTTGTAACGTTATTATGTCACGCAATCGCTTTATATTACGTGACTTGTGTAAGCCAATCGTGCGTTAAGTACCATGTGCTTCGAGATTTACTTCACTTGTAAGTAGTGGAAGCTAAGGGGATTTCGCCTCATTAAGTCTTGGATTCCGACTACCTTTGTGCTAGTTATTACAATGGAATTGTAATTGTAGGTGCTATAAATTTTTATCCACTGGATTAAAAAAAAAGAATTGCCGTTCGACAGTTACACCTTTTTTAGTGCAACTTGCCCGGCAATCAACGTCGTTGAAAGACAAGAAGTTTTAACCGCCAGCTGGATCCCTTGGTGCATCGACGGTACCCATGTTTGAATAACTGCCCCTAACGAAAATGAACCGAACTTCGTGAACCGGAGAGGATTTCACTCCATCAATGTCCAAGCAATCTGCGACCATCGAGGTAAGGAAATATGTCTAGCTCTGATTATTGGTTTAGCCAAGGGCAGCACGTCTGTTTAACCCCAAGCTTTACTGTGGATACTATCTCGTGTCTATAACAGGAGTTATCTGATCCCAAATGTGGGCATGAAATCCGTGAGGAAATTTCGCATCCAGTGTGTAACGCTTTTCTGTCACGTTAGGGGCAGTGTGCGAGAGATTGGCTTGAGTATAACATGTGATCAAACGTGTGATGACGAGATTCAAGCACATACAATTTACGATGTGAACAACTGAATGAAATTGATTCAAAATGGTTGAGTTTTCGAACTGTGTGACAACCTGTTTAATTCTATAGCTCTCAGGTGTAATCGATTTTGTTTGAAAACGAGTATCGAGTCTTCAAATAGTGACATGACAGCAATGAAAATATTCTTCGGCGATCACTGAATGTGTTCTCCAGCATGGACATTTTGCAGTGGACTGGATTCGTTTGAATGCAGGAGCAAAGCATTACAGAGCATTCTCTTACAGAGTAGCATTATTTATTAACGTGTAATTTGTCGTTGCTGAAAGATACAGGCCAAGGAATACACTTGAAAGAAACAGAGACACTCATGATAGGCTTTTTGCGATCCTACATTTTATTAGCAGAATAACTCTGTAATTTCTATAAAAAAAATTTTGTTCAGACTCAAAACTATTGGCCTAGTTAAGTTTGCCACTACATGTATAGAGAGTTTAAAGGCCATAACAATAAAAAATGTTAAGTTTTAAGACATTTAGACTTTGAAGACTTGTGTGGGAGAAATAAATTTTGTCCACCAGTAGCATTCCAATCTTTTTCATGCAAATATTATCCCAGAGTTTTTAAATCATCTGCCATATTTCTCATGCCCTTAGGATGCCTAATTTAACCTTTTATATTTCACCCAAAGATGAAGAAAAAATCGTGCTGATTTTTTTTTGGACTTGAGAAGGGAAAATTTCAGTGTAGAGCAAACAATTTGTACTTCTAAACAAAAGCATTGAGGTTCCACCTTTCAACCCTCAAATAACATAATTCACAATTGTGACTTACAAGGATTGAGTGTAGCATATCAAATCCAAGTAATCACATGTGTACAACTCTGCGAAGTGTTAAACGAACTCGTCAAGAACTTTGTGGCTACCGTTTCATTTCCGGTTTTACGTTACGTAACGTGTCACGTTACGTGTCACGTTACGTGTCACGTGACAATCTCTGGGGGTTTGGACGTGCTTTGACATTTGGGAGAGAGTTTTACCGTTGTGTAACTGTTTTGGTTTGCAAAACAGTTCTTTAACGTCATTGTGGTTGTGATCATTATTGTTATGTGATGGTTATTACGATTTCCCTTTTTTGTACGTTATCTTGTAACGCTACACAAGGAATAAAGGCATAAGCCACAAGCTTCTGACTACGATGTAAACAGCGTGTGATTGACAGAGACCAACGTTGCATACAAAATCAGTTAAAACGAATCGCGTGCTATAAGCTTAGTAGTGAATCGTATGGCGTCAACCGTATACCGGTTCGAACTGAAATACAAAAACGAAAATAGAAGCTAACGTAACTAACATATCGAAGATAAAATAATACAAATGCAGGAATTATCGCTAACATTGCAATAACGACCGTAACATGTAAGTGTCAAATATAATCGGCACTTATATTGACCATAAGGAAGGCTGGAAAACGATTAATAAGCTACACGGACGATAGCTTTATGTTAAATAACCCTCTGTCAGAGATATGGACCTAATCAAGCACGATTCCAAGCATACAAAAAACCATCAAACCGATTTAATAACGATATAGGCCATCTGATAGGTGATAAAGTGAGACTTGACTGAAACGAATAACAATAGAAAAGGCCTAAAAACCAGGAATCGATTACTTACTTGGTTTGCACACGCACTGAATTTGACTTGGTGGAATAGATGAGTAACAGCGTAGAGAGAAACTATGGTCCAATGCCGAGTAGAAGTTGACGCACTGGAATCTACACTTGAACTGATCTAACCAGGTAAAACCTCGTGAATATATCTAAAAAAAACACCACGTAAGCTAAGCTCAGCGATAATTACTATTTCCTGACGGTAATAGCAGCTGAGGGCTGGTCAACCACAGCAGATCAATTAAGTGAGTAGGGCCTTGTTTGAACATGACAATCATTTGATAACATCTACGGTATAGTAAGTTCCTGTGACAGGAACTGAATTGACGACACGTGTTTTGTCACGTGACTCTTGATGTAAACAAATCCCGAAAGTTGGGACATTGAGTCGAGCTCGCAACTTCTGCTTTGGTAATTTTTCTTAAATAACTTCTCACTTTCAAGATGCGTTTCTTCGCTCAAAATTGACATCTTTCTTTTATCATTTATTTGATAGTTTATCAAGCAAGTTGTTATTTCGCTGCCGTTGAAGTTCTGTTAGGAAATTAGTGCCCACGAATTGCTGTAGATCGTGAAGAAGCCTTGATTCCCAAAACGTACCGATTTTTTTAAACTTCAGTAACGCAAGTGAGAAATTCTGCGAAACTCAGGTCGACCTTTAAGAGTAGTTAAACTTAAGAATAGCAGATCACAAAAGTAAAGCCGATTTAGACGCAATGAGTGTGGCAGAGCTTAAATAATATCTACAAGAGCGGGGTTTTCAGCGAGCGGATTCTTGAAAACCTCGTTAGTGGAAATCGCCTCTGCAGTCATAAAAATCGTTCTGCCAGTGGACCCAAATTTCGAAAAAAACGACGCCACTGCTTTAGAAGAAGTAATAATTCAGGATATGCTAATTCCCAATCCATTTTTAGCTAATTCATGCTGAAATCAATGAATGAAGTGTTGTGGTGACGCTGGTGATGACGGAAGTTGTTGACCGTAGACGGAAGTTGAATTGTGGACCGTGAACGGAAGTAGTCTCGCATGCTAACCTTCCCCACTTAGTGAAAGTCAAAATTAATTTCGATGAAGCTCAGAAACTCACGTGGAAAGAAATAAAATGTTTTTAAGGTTTAATAAAAATAGTAACCTCAATCACATTTCCGAACTTCTAAAAATGCAACTTGAGTCGAGAAGCCGAAATGTTCACACTAAAGGGACCCGTAGCGGGCTCATTTCAACACACGCTGTGACCACGCAGAAGAGCATCAAAGGTAATCATATCGGTAAGACACGCATTTGCGTTCGTCTTCAGTTGATATAAAGTAATCATTGCTCTATCATTGTGCTTGTCCTCGGGAACTCTTCAACATACAGTTCACACATCAATCATAGCGGCCAAGATAGCCTCACTAAATTTTTTTTTTCGAGCTCCAATATTTCAGTTCGGACTTGAGGCTCGTTCGAACAAAAACAGCAATACAAATCCGGTCAGTACAAAGTGCAGACTGCAGACTGCAGATCGGGTACAAAATGCAGACTGCAAACTGGGTACATAATACAGACTAAGAATTTATACTGTTTTTAGCTCATTCATGCTGAAAGCAATGAGTGAGGTATTGCAGTGAAGCAGATGTTGACGGAAGTTGTATTTCGTGGACGGAAGTTGTATTCCGTGGAAGGAAGTTGTATTCCTTTGACGGAAGTTGTGGACCACTTAGTCAAAATTCAAAAAGTCAAAATGAATTTCGATGAAGCTCAGAAACTCACGTGGAAAGAAATAAAATTTGTATGGTTTAATAAAAATAATAACCTCAAATCCCTTCCCGAACTTCTAAAAATGCAAGTTGAGTCGAGAAGCCGAAATGTTCATTTCAACACACGTTGTGACCACGCAGAAGGGTACCAGAGGCAGCCATATTGTTAAGCCGCGCATTTGCGTTCGTCTTCAGTTGGTATAAAGTAATCGTTGCTCTATCATTGTGCTTGTCCTGGGGAGTTCTTCAACATACAGTCCGCACATCAATAATAGCGGCCAAGATAGTCTCACTATATTATTTTTTCAAGCCCCAATAATTCGGTCCGGACTTGAGGCTCGCTCGAACAAAAACAGCAATATCAATCCGGTCGATACAAAATGCAGACTGCAGATCGGGTACAAAATGTCGACTAAATAAAAAATGCAGACTGAGAATTTTTACTTTTTTTTTTTCGTCTGATACGTGATGGCATGTTATCTTACAACTTACCGAGCGTCACGCAATCGCTTTTCCGCGATCATCTTTCACGATTATTTGCACTATAATTGCACGGTTGCCCGTTTCTTGGTCACTATCATTCTTAATATAATTTCAAGCCTTCACATAGTATTCTCACTTTGCGCGCGAGTTGATTGGTGTGATCTCTGTACAGAATTTACCAACTTAATAAAAGAAGATGTAGATGTAAATGAGATGCCTCTATCGAATATTTAACACGCGCAATATTCGAGAAACAAGTGACTGCTTTGCATGTGGTCCAAATGTTTCATCTTTTCAACCGATATGTGTTCATTTTGTTGAAAAAAATGCGAACCAAGACCAAAACTGTTCCTTCGACTTGATATAGTTTTAACGTTCAGAGGTGTACACACACTGATTTTCTCAAATGTGTCTTATATTATTATTTGCTTTCATGCGGAACCAGCGAATTTTTATAGGGAAAAGCGAAGCGTTGCTTTCGTGACTGGCCATAGTTCATGTGTGCAATTGTAGACTGGTTTATCAGGAATGCTAGCCAAGTAGGTAATTCAAATTTTATTGTTGAGGGCTGTTAAACGATAACAATCGAAATATATCTAATCTAAAACATTTTAAGGGTTTCCTATATTGGTGTTGGAAAATGAATGGAAATAATATATTAGCATAAGCCATTCAGTAAACATTATAATAAGCCAGTTGATTACTTCTTACTCCTTTTGGCGGTCTTATCTCACAGGAAGAATTTTGGTCACCTTTTCCTTCTTATGATCGTGAATTTGATATGGAGACAAATGTTCTTGTGCAACCTGCGATTAGCGGCTAGATATCGGTATATTTCCATTATGTTGCTAAAAGATGTTTAATTACTAAAAAAATGACTTTACCTTATAAAAATGGATTCCGAACTGGAATTTCCTGGAAATAACCCTCCTTATACTTTTACCTCTTTAATATTCTCGTTTTTAAGCTAGATCCATGTCGAATTCCCAATCAGGAAAATAGTCCTTAAATTTTAATTTAGCATGTTTGACTCCCCTTTTTCTTAGAGATGCCTTAAGTTGTAAACGTTAAGTACTTTTCATCTTCCGCACTGAACTTATAAACAGGTAATTTATACGAATAGCACGTAGCTCTTTTAGGGGCCGTTCCTTGAGTACACCCTTTCTTCTCCGAATTTTCTGTTTTTTCTGCTGTTATGTAACAGTCTTCGAGGACTATTTTCTCTCAGGATATCTCCTCAACTATGACTTTAATTCTGTTAGTAAGTTTGTTATAATTTTTATATTGCCAATCTTGTGTAGTAAGAGAGAATGAAGAAAGAGACAACAAAACAACGAGTGTTAGGGTTTCACTTCTAACAGGGCAGAGGTGCAAACCGGGGCAGTGTCCTTCAAGCTAAATGTAAATGTAAAGGTGGTCGAGAGCAGTGAGAAGAATAGAACCAAATCAACACACACTATTTCCTATGTCAGTAACAATTTCCTCCCCTTCTTCTTTGTCACTCTCCTCAATTTCTTTCTCAGAGCTCACACTTTGGCCATCATATGCTCTGTTTTCAAACTTCAAACCTTGAAGATCAGGAAATGCAGGCGATTGTCCTTCGGAAAACATCGAGTGGAGTTGAAGACACGGTCCTGGAGAAGACGCAAGTTGTTCATACGAAGAGTTGGATGGACCCATGTCGTCACAGATGATTCTGTTCAGTTCCTTTGTTTTGTCATTTAGTTCGATTCTAGCTCGTCTGTTCTTCCACTTGCATACCAGTACGCCAATGACAGCCAATAGCACAAAAACACCACAGAGCACAATGATGACAGCAACAGGAAAGTTACTTTGTTTATCTAATTCAAAGGATAAAGAGGGAAACTACTATCAATTTACAAGTTCAAACAAACTACACTTAGAGTAAACCGTATGATATGAACAGCACGTAATAGAACAAGTCCCTTTGTTTATCTGGAAAGGTACACACAAGTAAATAACAAACAAGACATAGAATGTTCCAAAAATTTAAATAAAGGAAAAAGAAGAGAGAAGGGGGGGGGGGCTAGTGTTACGGTATAATCTAACCGACAGAAAAACACTTCAAATCCCACAAACTCAACTCCTTTTTTAAACAGCGGGTAATGTTCTTAACAAGGAGCGACTCCTAGAAGCAGTAAAATACCTATCGCTAATAAACTTAATAAGCCCACCAAAGTCTATATCCTAGCTCACCACTGACACAATTTCACTGCTGTCTCCAAAGTTCCTTGAAATAAGCGGCCCTCTACAGTGACTCTCTCTGTATAACTTTCAAAACATTCGTCGCTCCGACAACAACTATTACTACTACATAAGTGAGTCTTTATATATATTTACAAAGTGTTCTGGAACATTCCAGAAGCTTACATAAGAACTGTTTTAGAAGTATTACATAATAAATGCGTGACTTAATAAAATCTTCTGGAAAGTTCTATGGTATGCAATTCAGCATGAATCAGCAGTCTGGAAATTTCTGGAAGTTTTACATTTGCAATAATTACTCATAACACTATCATCTTGCCGTTTTACTTCACGCGTCAAATGGGTCCCGCATTACTGTTTGAGCAACGGGTGAAAGTAGGGTGATTTGCAATTGACCACCAATCCAACAAGAAAAAGAACCAATGTTTGAACAGCAAGTTCATATAGCCCCAAGTTGACTATTTGGTGTACCAAAGTGATAGATAGGTGAAGACTTCGCTACACTAGGCTCAAAAACAGTTTTTAATTTTCTAACTTACCAGCCACTATCAAAGTTGTAGCTGAATGGCTCGCTCCAAAACTGTTCGATGCTGTACATTCATAGACACCGCTATCACGATGTATCACGTCTCGGATAACAAGTACCTTGCCATCGTTGTTAAAGTTGGCCCGTGGTATACTGATGTCTCCATCTTTACTCCACGTAACAGAAGGTTGTGGATCTCCGCTGGCCTCACACGTCAACTCTGCCTTTTCACCAACAATTATGGTTGTCTTTTCTGGTAGTTCCTTGATCACTGGCTTATCTGCCATGATTATATTATAAAGCATCCCGTTT